GGGCGGGTGTCGGGCCGCTGAAAGTACCTCTTCCGTAGCTGCTCTCGGTCCCAGGATAGAAGTACAGCTGTATATACGATATATAAAGAGAGGAATTATTTTTCGTGAGAAAAGGAGCCTGATCTAGTGACCTTGTTTTAATAGCCTTAGCCCCTGAGCTTCAACATTCAAGTTATTGTGAGGTGTTCTGTTTGCTGTATTCTGTGCTAAAATAGTTGAGAAGGCAAATGTTCATATTAAGTCAATGTCAAGTCATATAATAGCTAGCAAAACGTATGGAAAATTAATCGTGCTGTCCGCTTATTAAAATACAAGGTGTTGATCTTCTGTAGCTAAGGACGCCTCTCCCGCTTACTCTGTGTATCTGTACTCTAGCGACCGTACGGTGGGCAAAACGCGCATCTCCGGCTGCTGCCCATTTCAAAACTCGCTCCGTTAGTGACTTGTTAGCACGGCACGGACAATAGCAAGAAGTGCAGTTGGGTGTCGCCAGGCCGGGCATCGGAGGCAGGTAGAAGGTCCCTGTCCACACCCAGCCTTCCTGGGCAGCCTTTGACCCTTCTCCCCTGTGAGCTGCGCTGCTAATGTGAGCTCCTCCGAGTCCTGTGAACAGCTGAAATTAGAACATGAAACTGTCTTTTGATATGTTGCTACAGCGCAGACGACAGGCTACTTTCCTTCTCCCTAACGAGACCTACCTTTAGCAAAGCAACCCACAGTGTGTATTCTCTGGCTTTAACGGTGGTCTGGCCAAATGCTTTGAAAAACTGTCAAATTTACCAGCTACTGACATTTCAGCCAGTATTTATTTATTTATTTATTTTTTCCACAGGAGTGCTTGTTTCCAAATGTGATAGCAGATGAAGCTAAAAATAAGGACAAGCAATTTCAATAAAGGATTTAAAACAAAGCTTGTGCCTTCCTTGAATTCAGCAGGGCAAAGTGGGTCAACTGGTGATTTCTGAAGAACTGAATTGATCCCAGACATAGCCTTTGTTCTAACACTCTCTCTGAAATGAGCATGCAAAATATTTCAATCTTTTGGTTAGCATCCTCTAAAGCAATTTCTGAAGTTTTATATTTTGTTACACACAACAGAAGATTCACGTGTCATGCCCAAAGGCTGAAAGCAAGCGATAAATGCTTTATTTTCAATGGGCTTCATGGACTTTATTGTTTTAGTTCCAGAACCTGGACAAATTAATTAATACAACATAAGGTAAAGGCACCAGGATTTACTGCCTGATGAAGGAGGCTGAACTCACAGATCACTCTTCTCTTATGCCAGAAATAAAGCATGTTATTTTAACTTGTGCATTTTTCTGTCATTTGTTGGTAACAGAGACGCAGGTAAAACTGTCCAATTATGCAACTGAATGAGTTGCACCCAAAGAACCAGCATGCAAGAGAGAACGTCCTGTGCTTTGCATTACCCGTGGAGCCGCATATATTGTATTTACTAGATCTGGGGAAAAGTTTTCAGTAAGGCGTTCTTGTTATGGGTTGGGAAAGAGCTCCTAAGGACTCCTGCGTACTTTTTAATACAAATGAAAACTAAGCTGTGTATAGCACTTAACTGCTCCACCCATAGTATGCTACTCTTCTATAAATTGGAGTAAGAACCTCACCACTGAGGTGAATGACTAATATACAAAAGGTGGTAAGAATAATTTTATTGTATTATTAAATAGCATGTATTCTCTTCAACCATTACAAATTTGTAGATACTACATGAGTGACAATACATAATTTATCTTTTTATTGTTGCCCATATGATATATTTACACATGCAGTTAGTACCGATGTCATGCTACATTTTGTTAACAGCATTTCGTTGTTTGCAAGACTCAAAATGTGAGCATTTCATCTTCTGTAGGAAAATACCTCTGGGTAGGTGGAATGCGTGCACTAATCTGCGCTCACAGGGTTGGAATCGTCAGCATTTCAGGCCAGGCTCCTGGAGCATGTTCCCTTTTCTTCCCTAGTACACATCATCAGAGCAATGTATTTCTATCTGGAAAGTGTGGTTTTTTTTTTCTTTTTTTTTTTTTTTTTTAAATGTAAGAAACAAGAATATACATCTATAACCAGCAGCCTGGTGATAAAGGCTAAAACCCATGAAACTCGATGGCATTTATGATTGATATCACTTGAAAAAGCAAACATTATAAAAATATTTGGAAGCCAAGCATAAGTAGAATTTCAGCACAGTGATTTTTTTTTTTTTTCTGGCATAGATTATGGCATCACCTGCACAGTTACGAAATTATATGTTGCTTTGTGAAGAAGGAGTTGGTGCTATGAACAAGTTATTTCATTTGGACTCTCTAATGCTTGAAAGGCTGTTGAACTATTTTATTCTTAACATAAATAATCTGTACACATCCTGTGCATTAACATTGTGACATCTGACAAAGACTTTACAAATGCAACTTCAATTTAAAATTGTACATTCATTTTGAAGTTGTACATATTTCTTTCTTTGTTACAGAGAAAATTGCAGTGGGGCACAATAAATATAGTGTAATCAAACTGCAGTCTCCAATTCCATATATGACTCAAGATCAACCAGAGTTAAAAATGACTACTGTTAACATACTGTAATCATCCAGGAAGGTAAAAGGTGCAGAGGACAAACTGCACTGAAGAAAAAAAAGAAAAAAAAAAAAAAAAAAAAAAAAAAAAAGGAAAAAGGCAGCCTGGAGTTTGATAAAAAAACCCAAAAGCTAAAATATTAAAGTAAAATTCCAGTGTCACTGTTTAAAATAAACATACAGAAGAGGGGTATGCAGGGAAGGGGCACACACACATTAGACATTATCCTTTAGCAGAAGGCGGTGAGTCGCTGCGGGCAGGGTGGCTGATGGCTGTTCACTAGAAAGCTGCAGGCATCTCGCCACTCAGGACTTGTTGGCCGAGCCAGAGGAGCGGCGCAGTTTCATGGACATGCGGCTCTTGCTAGTCCGAGGAGACATTGGAGAGGCTAAGTCGGTTCCATCCACCTGTGCTGTTGCTGCTGCTGGAGTTTCTCCCGGCTGAGTCTCTGGGCAGAAGCCTGCAGAGGACAGCAAGAACCAGGCGGGTCAGTGCCACCCGTCTGCACCCGCAGCACGGGAGAGTCTATTCACAAGGGGCAGAGAGGAATTTCAGTGCTGCCGTCACTCGCACAGCATCTCCTAGCCCTTTACCGGCTGTGGGCGATGGCACTGCGCGTTGAGCTAGCAACTGCCACAAATCCACCCCAAGAGAAAAGACAATGCCAGAAACCACTGAGCTACGGGACTGCAGAACCCCCTCGCTCTCGGCAGCTGAGGCAGCACTGAAGTGGGCGATGTTCTGCTAACCGGGAGAACAAGCACCTCCACTTCCCTTGCAGTGATGGGGAAACCACAACCCAGAACAATCCAGTCTTTAATGAGAACATGAAGGTTGTTAACAGCTCATTGCGCATGAAGGGAGCCCTAGGAATGCAGCTGAAGAGGTGGTGTGAATCGGGGGCCAACTGGGAGAGCAAAACATCTTCTCCCATCCCAACTTTAGTCAGTGCTTCAAACAGCAAACTCCTACAGGGCCCACAAGGCAGAAGCTTGAACAGATCATACTAACTGGATGCACTATACGTTAATGTTTCTTTGTAAAAGGAACAAGATGAATTTGAGATAACGGTATGTCATTCATTAGCCCCACGCCTGGAGCTATGCTCCCATGGGCCCCGAATCCTCCCTGAAAGAGGATAAGGCTCTTCCCTTACAAACAGCATCTCCAAATCTTCTTCCATAAAAATACAAAAGGAAAAGGAGAAAATGCAAAATTAAAATTACAGTCTCCTTCCCATGCACAGAAAATTAACACTATGAACTCACACCCACAAAACTAAACTGCATTTTAATTATCCATTTACAGAGACGGACAGCCTGATTGAACTCAATTATCTCAGCTGCCACTGGTCACTTCTGACCTGTATAAAATTACAGACAGAAGCTTAGTCCTGCAGAAGCCAAAGGGGAAACCCCTGCTGACTTCAGTGAGCCAGAGTATCACTTGCTATTTCTTCCACATCATGCTATTACTGGTAATTCTTTATGATAATCATGCAATAATAAGTGAAGATCTCTCTCCCTCAGTATATATTTCATATATAAGGTGTGCAAAAAACCACTCAAAACTGATCATGATTTATTTTAAAAGTCTCCTTTAAAATAAAATTATGTAATCACATAAGAAGTCTCTGAGTATATTTCAAACATATTGTCATAAACCTCTGTGATTTAGTGACCTGGCATCCTCCTCACCTGGTCCATCACCTGCCTGCTCCAGAGAGACAGCACGGTACTTTCTATCTTTTTCAAACTGACACAAGGGCTGTTATTTGTTCCCCAGCTGGTGACAGTAATTCTGTTCATGAACTAGGTACTTCATTGCCAAACAATCTGGGAAAGCACGATAATGCCTGACTCACTGTGCCTTACAGAAAAAGGCAGGCAGGGAAACATGCACTCTCATTTTCTGAAATTCTATCTTGTTCTAATTTTACAAGGAATTAAAGCATTTCAAATGGTGGAAGTTAGAGAATAGAAAATAACGGTTGTTGTTTTGCACAGCATACCATTCACAGCTAGCGTGAAAGACCTTCCGTTTCAAGCCTTTGCCCTTTACCTTGATGTGGCCAATGCTTTCTAGTGGAGGTTTTGGAAGGAGAAGAAATATCACAGCATTTCTTTCTTTGTTGAGAATGAAGAGGTGATGAGGAAGGAGGAGTGGAAAGAAGTGAGGAAGGGGGAGGAGAAAAGATAAAAGATAACAGGTGTGAGACATGAGACACGAACCGCAGAGATTGAAGGGTATTAACAGATGAGCACAGAAAACGGAATTTCGAATTTCATTATGCAATTGCTGCTCATGCTACAGGTTAAAGAGAGTGATGAGTTAGTTATGTGCAATGAAGCAACAGCTTTGAAATCCGGTGTCATACTTACCAACTAAGCATTACAAGAAAAAAAAAAGGAAGAGAGAGAGAAAGAAAAGAATTCTATAACATTATCCAGATCCAGCAGCCTTATTCATAGCAACTGAGATACATCCTAAACATTGTCTGAAATGCTTGCTTAAAGTCTGGGAAAACAGTTAAATATTCACACACACACAGTTGAGAAGGAAAAACAAATGGCAACTCGATATATGGCTTCTGCTCCCCATCTGTTCCACAGTATTAAGTATGTTAAAATTATAGCCAGTCTCAACATGACTCCTGAAATAATGTAAAGAAGACAAAACAGTATTTAAGCTAGTTAGTGTGCACTGAAGGGTCAAACCCTAGTGTGAAATTTTGCCATGGTCTGGAGAAAAAAAAAATCCTTTAAACCCCCCCATTATTTCCATTAAGGTATTATTCCGGTCATATCTTTTTTTTTTTTTTTCCTAATTCCTGCAGACAGAATCACAGATTCACATCTTTTTTAAGAAATTGACTTAGAACTACTGAAGAACAGAAGCCATGTAAAGTGATTTTCACATCTGAACATATCACACCAGAAGAGTGAAGAATAATGGCACTTAAAATATATTTGAAGTCTGACTGCAATCAACAGACTGATTAGTAACTCAATTTCTTTGGATTTTAGATAAGCATATATATATCTATATATACATACATACGCACATACACACATGTGGATATTAAATGTGGTGTATAGAAACTTTGCAGGTTTTGTTTCCCCTTCACAGCTTTAAAATCTTCAGTGTAAAATGTCATTATCTTTATCTCTCTATGCAGTGAAATATTTAGTTATCCAAAATATAAAAATAGGGTTAAATAAGAAGGCTTTATTGACAATTGACCTAGAACCAGAAAGTTCCGTAACATAAACAAAATAGATGTGTTAGGATTTTTAAGAGGCTGAAAAATGTCAGGAAGTGATCCATATTTTTAATCTCTTAGGTTTGAAAAGTGACAAATATCATAGCCTGATGAGCTATGATATTTTGGGGCCATACCATAAAGCTGTTTCAATTGCTTCTGAACAAGGAGGTGGACCAACAAAGTTGAAATGCGATGCTTTCACACTCCATTTCACAATTTTAGGATCTTCTAAGAATAGTATGTTGGTTACTTGACTCAGAAATTAACTATTTAAATGTCAAATGGACACATCTAACTGCACACAGACTGAATTAGAAGCAAGGTGAGGTGAAGGAATTTGGAGGGATCCTAACACACATGTTGGCATGACTCATCTCGCTTGTCCGTTCTTACTTTCAAAGAGGTGAAAAATTCACTGAGGAGAAGCCTGATACACTGCAAGTTAAGACTACTCTCAGTACATCTAGCTTTATCACACCTTGTTGTCTGGATTAACATTTTCCCGAGTGCCATTTCTGAGAACGACCACAGAGGAAAATACCATTTGTGCACGCTGGTAAATTTTGATGGCCTTTTAAGATACTTCAGCTCCCCCCAGCTGACCCCCAGGGAAAAGGGCAATTATTGTTCTACAGCTTGTGCTGTTTACCACTCTTACAAACTTCAGTCTGAATCTGTCCAAGTTGCCCATCATGCTCAGCAGAGCCTTGCCAGAATCAAGGAATTAAGTCTCTCACTAATTTTGTGAAATGAGGAAAGGAAGCAAGAAGTGGATGTAGGGAGAAAGACTGCAAAAGCATCTGCAAAGCAAGGTGAGGAGGTGAGGAAGAGACGGTCTAAAGACCAGGGAGACTGGAACTGGGTAGGAGAGAACTAGGAGTCAGCCATGAGAAAAACACAGCAAAAAGGATTAAGTTTATGACCCTGGCTGGAAACGTGAGTGCTAGGCAAACCTATTCCTCTCTGTCAACTAATATGCATGAAACCCACTGACAAAATTCCCAATCTTTCTACTGGTGGAGATTCAAGCAGAGGTTAGACAGCTTAACATTACTACCGATTACTGCCCTATCTCAGTCTGCAGGAGCTGGTGGTGGATCTAGAGGTTACAGATTTGTTTATGCATCAAGTGGCTGTTAATTGCTATTACAGAATTTATCTTTTGCCCTATGCCTTAAAACAAAAATGGAAGGAAATTACACAAGGAAAATGTTGTCACAAGACAAATTCATAAGGTCAAATATTCAAAAACTAGGAAATGTCAGGATGAAAATTTAATTTTGTCCCCTTGTGTGTATGCACTGGATACTTTTCAACTGGACAATCCTACTCTATTTTTTTCAGTGGACCCATTTCATTAAATGTAGAGAGTTGATCTGTTTGGGTTGCTAGCTGCCCACACTAAATTTACTGCCTCAGAGTGCTGAGGATCCAACTGTTTGACTTTAGGACAACAGTTCAGAAATGCACAAAGTTTCAGCTTCAGTTGTTTCAATATGAAATTTTTGGAAAATCTCAGTAAGCTTTGTGGTCTTACTCTGATTCAGAATGAAAAAGAATATTAATAAGTTTGGACTGGAAAAAGGATAATGAGAAACTTCCCAGCCCAGCCAGCCAGACATAATACATTTCTGTATTTCAACTTCACTTCCAGTCACAAACTTCAACCATCACCACGTGTTGCTTAGACCCTTCTGCAGTGCGAAAAGCACTATCATTCTCATCTGTGAAGGGGTAATACAGGGCCAAAAAGATTCTCCGTTCAAAGTTACCCAGCAAACAAGCCACAGAAGAGATAAGATCACAGAATCATAGCATGTCCTGGGTTGAAAAGGACCTTAAAGATCATCCAGTTTCAACCCCCCTGCTGTGGGGAGGGTTGCCAGCCACTAGAGATGTGGGCTGACAAATTGGAGTTTCTCTTGTACAAGGCTAAAGTACTATTAACTTTACATTCCCTGCCTCCCTGCCTGTCAGCTGGCATCCCCACTTGCTTTGGGAGTGGGGCAGCAGAATTGTTCTGAACACAGGCTTGAAAATACAGGAATGATTGTTGGGATCAAGAAGTCCGATGCTTTTAACACAAGGAGAATACTGACTAATGTAGAGAGGCTTCTTTATAAGATTTACTGTACTAAGTTACTATTTTTTAGTAGGAAAAGAGGGGAAAAGAAGATAGAGAAAAAACCATCCCAAGACTTCAGTACATTTTAAATCTCAGAATCTTAGCATCATGGGGTCAATAAGCCCTTCAATATAATTGAGCTTACCATTGACAGTTCCCTTAACCTATTCTGGTGTCACAGAGATCTGGTTTACTCAATAGCCGTATAGCAGAAATTACTCTATTTAACAGAGTCATCACAAAGTAAAAAATACAGAGGCAACTGAATTATATTCCGTGATTAAGTGCAAGTAAATCTCAAATTTTTTAAATGTACACATCCACTACACTAGTCAGGTTCCTAAACATGGGAAGGTGGACTTGTCAGATATTTTGACAGGGGAAACTAAGTATCTAGATAGAACAGCAGCAGCCACAATCACACTGCATTGAAGAGCAACCACTCTAAGGAAGGAAACTGCTTTTGCTGAGGGCTGAGACTTTGATAAAATTGGTCAGTCTGAGGAAAGAGTTACCAAATGGCATGTTCTCTATTTGCTCTGATTATCATAGCTCAAATGAAAAAACTGGCATGCTGAAACCGGCCAACAGGATCACAACAACAACAAAATTACAACATTTGGTGACGGGCTGTAGTAGCTTCACAGTTTCCATGGATCTTTCTTAGAAGAAACTGTACAGAACATTTTATAAAAACTAAACATATTCAGTAATTGTAATCTTGTGGATCACAATCCAATTAAAGAATCAAGTCTATAATATAAAAAATGTGGAAATCTTTTCTAGTCTCTTCTGGTCAGTTATTCTTCATTAAAAAAATAGACAAATTATATTTTTTTAATTTAAAAAAATAACTGTGATGTACTTTTAGAAGCTGACCAGAAATTTTCAGATGACATGGAAACGTCTGGCAGGGAGCCTGCAAGGTTTTGTTTGAGTCATCCTGAGAGTGATAAATGTGTGTGGATTCCCAGGCAGGACTTCAGTGCCACTCCTACACAGAATCCTGTCACAATGTAGAGCTCTTCACTTGTCTATCAAGAAATCTGCCTGTTGTAGGGACCCTGGAAAGTTAGGGGTATCTGTTTTTTTAATAGCACATCTTTTGGACTCTTTCCTGGGATCACAGTCAATCAAAGTTCTGGGTCATCTGTAGCCACCTCACTCACAGGTCTGCCTTCGCTACAACTAGGAACCAGCAGTTTCCAGGATAACGTCAAGCCCTGGGGTAGCCTTTTTGGCAGATGACTGGCAATGTTAATTTATACCTTCCCCAAGCTTTAGAATTTGTGCCCTCCAGAGTCAGACCGGAGGCAGATGGTGTGGTGCCATGTCAGGTGCTCGGTGCTGGAGCTGAGTACCAGAGCCCCAGAAGCCCTGGATCAAACAGGAGTCAGCGCCCAGGCTGCAAGGAGGACTACCCGAGTATCCCCAGCATCCCTGGGCTGAAATGAAAGCTCAGATCCAGGCAGGTCTGGGAACAGGTTATTTGGCTCTGATACCAGGTCACACTGTGCTGCACACCCATCCTAGGAAGCTCCTGGATGCTCCTGACACTGAAGTGTTGGTCAGTTCCACTGCACAGCACAAGGTCCAGAAGAGTGTGGCCCTCAGGACAGGACATCACGTTTCGTGGTACATAAACACACGTGCATATATACGCAGATGTGAAATACATCACAAGCTCCTATTAATGAGATTCCTGCAGAAAATTATTACATTTGATAGAGAGGTTAAGTCTAAAATCAAGTTTCTAAAAACCATAATATTTTTCCAGATCACATTAGAGAATACCAAGCATCACTAGGACAATTTTTAAAGGAATACAAGAATTGTCGCTGTAGAGCAGTGTTCTCCAATGCACCAAACTAGTACATAAAAGCAGCTTTGCTTCACCCCAAAACAATGAACCAGATGAAGAGGGCAGAATGATTTAGCCCAGAATGAGACTTCCAAAAGTGAATAGGCAGAACTGATACAAGTGCACTAGAATATAGAATATATACTAGTCATACAAAAGTGTCTGGTGTTGAATACTTACTGAGTGCATTAGGTAGGAAATGTGTCAAGGACTGTTATCCCTGGTTATTGTTTTTAATGTTTCTATTTACAGATTTTCCCTATTCAAATGTTTTCATATTATGGTACTATTTTTTTATATTATTCAATTAGTTTTAGATTACTTTTAATTTAGTTTCCCTTTGGTCTTGTCTATTTGCACTGCCATAACTATACCACTTATTACACTTTGAAACTGCACCTCATTTCAACTTATGGTTTACACTATCAAGCGAAGGAGCTTCAATGTTTTAACATCTCTCATTCTTTCTGTAGTCCTATCACAACCCTTCTATAACTTTAGAATTTAGTTCTGCATATTTTTGCAATTGAGAAACAAATTTTGAGATAACAACTTGCCAAATTAATTTATTCTTACAGAATTTATTTAGATTTACAGCTCTTCCACAGAAGCATTTTGATTTGTCATTAAATAAAGGTTTTTCTGAACAAGGAATTTCAAGTGTTACACATTCTTCTTCTCCTTCTCTCCTATGTTATCACTGCAGAATGTCTTACAACATAAATGAAAGACAGTACAGGGTACAAAACACACCACTGCCATCCAGTACTACTTGTTCATGCTGAGAAACAAAGGTCAACACAATAAAGTGTTACTCATTCAACAACTGTCTCTATCATTAGTTACCTTAATCCCAGAACCAGTGTTAGTGCTTCATGCAGACCTGAGGTTAGTAAAAGACTAAAGCTTTAAGAAAATATAGTGGTCATTTCTCAGTCAGTGTGAAATTCTTTTTAGTGTGAACAAGGGCAACAAGGAAAGTTTGCATACAATTTGGTTACAAGCTTAGTGCTCTAGTAAAAGTAAGAGGAACAAAGGGGTTTTTTGGACACTTTGTCTTACCTTCAGATAAACAGAACTGATATTTAATGATCTAAAAAGAGGGGAAATAAAATAATGAAATAATCATAAGGAGTTCAAGAAATTTCAGAACAGGAAGGCCTTGAGTTACTAATTTTCTTTTACCAATTTTCTCATTAGTAACTGAAAATGCAGTATCCTCTTATAAAACAGGTATTTTACTGGAAAGCAAAATGACCTTAAAACCAACTTTACAGTTAACAACCTGGAAACAAAATTGATGATTGTGAGGCTCTCAGATTTCCAGTGTAAAACTTTACATTCTAAAAATGTAGTGAGCCTTAAAACTTTCTTACGGGGAAGGTTACTTAAAGAATATATCTACCCGAATGAAGGGAGTATCAACACTTCCACTGAGACTTTCTACAAGGTAACACAACAAAATTTGCTGTAAAAATACAGGGCTTGGTTGCTATATTAAAGAAGCTAGCCCAATCTTAATGCCAGGCACTGGCTCATGATGCCAGGCAACAGAATAAAGACTGAAAAGCAACTTTGCACCCGGGATCTCAAATATGTACACATAGTTGTCCAGATTAATGGTAACTCTTAATGATGTGCACAGGTCTGAATTTTTAGTATTTATAAGTAAGGATACTGCATTTCAAATAAGACTGTACAAAACCAGTTCTTTACTGTACTTCTTACCTGTCTCTGAGGGCAGATGGTGGTAAGGTGCTGGACAGAAAACTTGAGCAGCAAAATCCTCAAAAGTTGTAGGCTCTAGATGATGTTGAACAATTGTTTGCAGGTATCGTGCTCTCTCCTCATAACTGGTTTAGCCAAGAATTAAGGACCAATTTCTATCATGTACTGTAAATGCTAAGTATCAGCGTAGCAACCCAAATTCTTGTTTAAGTACATATCACATATTTCAGTGATTGTACATACTTATTTTTAATTCTTCACATAACTATGATGTTATCTGATGCACTGAAGTAATATTAACTGTAAGATAAACACGATTCATGTAAACCTTATGGTTCAACTACCTTTTTTTCATGTGTGATGCAAAACTTTCTGAATTTTTTTTTGCAAACAACAGCAACTTAAATTCTCTTTTAAGTAACTGATTTGTCTGTACTCTGGTCACAATTAAATATAAAAATGTTACAATTTTAAAGAGGTATAGCACGAAAAATGGTGTTAGTATTACCAAAATAAATGATTTTGCATGTTTTTGTAACAAACTGCTTCCATAATCCCTAAACACACACACACACACACACACACGGTTAAGACCATCACATAGTGAAATTTGAGTATTGTGAAAAACACCTCATCAATTATGCTGCTAAAACAAGCAAGAATATTTGTAAAGAATCTGCAGGACCCTTAAATACTGGCTAACAGGGTGTCGGCAGGGCACTGAGAGAAAAATACTGTACTTCCTCCTATTCCCTGCGTTCTCCCTCTCTGATATTATTGACAAGAGACTGGTATCTTGAAGTGTTGTTGCTTTTGAAGAACCCTCTCCAGGCTTCTTGTTCCAGCAGGCCTGATTGTGCTGTTAGCACAGAGAGAGTAAGAAAAAGAGAGAATATTTCTGCTGTTCATGAAAGCAACTATGGAAATGGCTGTCAAAATGTAGACCAGCAGGCAGCAACATACAATTATCAAGAAAAACTACCATGCTGACTTCATGTTGTATAGTTCCTGAACTGAGAAATCAGTTAACCTTTTCTCTCACAACTTTCAAAGTCCTCCAGCTGGACACAATACATTGAATGAGGGAGACCTTCCCCAGTTATCTTATAGAAATTTTTACTGGCATTTATGCTTAAATTCCCCCCCCCCCCCATATTTTATTTGTAGATAGTGAGATAATTTTCTCCTTACATAGTTCTGAAAAAAAAAAAGCCCCAAACAAATCAGCATGCTGTGGAGGAATGCACCCAGAATCAGTTTCTCAAAGGTTCTGGGTGCTGATTTCAGGTCTTCTAGGGGAGCACAAGGGCAGTGAGGAAACTACCTTTCTGACTCAGTCTCGCCATCTGTGAAACAAGGATAATATTAATCTTGCACATATTTTTTTAGCAATCCAAACATAAAAACTGCATTAAAAGTGCTTATCATTTGTAATAACAAGTGCTAACATAATAGACAAATAACAATACTACTTTCAGTTTTGATCAGCAATAAAATTCTCAGCCCTAAATTACAGCTGGAAAAAATACCCTTCATCTTAGCTTTTAAAACCGTACTTCAACAATTACAGAACTTTTCCTATGAAACCTTTTTGCAGTTGTTTTCTGTACAATATTTACAGTAGATTTTGCAGTATATCTAAATATGAAAAAACGTACAGAGAACATATTATCTGAAAGCAACTTCTAGTGAATCAACTAATCTTCACTGTTACTTCCTTAGCCCTGAGCTTGGTTACACAGTGAAACTGGGAAACAATTTTCCCTCCAAAATCTGTGTTCCAAATTCTTTCTATATCCCGAGACAGCTGAACCTCAGCAGAAGTCTCAGTCTGGAGAAGCTATAATAGAAGCACTGGGACAAGAGAAAATATAAAAATCTCCCATTGTAATGGTTCTTAGGTTGGGGGATAAACACAGTATTGAGCCTTAAGAGAGAAGAGTAATATAGCACAGTTTTTAAGAGGCTATGTATAAGTGGTAGAGGATGAAACTGATGGTTGAAGTCTAAATAATACTACATATCTCACAACTTGTTGAAAAGCACTTTTTTCATTGGGGGAGATTCACAGCTGCTGAATTTTCTGCAGTTAATGGAGTCCTTTGATTCACAGCAGTGCCCCTTGCACAAAAAATACTGGCCTTTGTGTATTACCAGAAACTAATTTTCTATTTGGCTGAAAAGGGAAAAATGGGGTTATTGCTTCTCCCTCCTACAGAGCTTTTCATTATGCCTGATGCACTCAACTTCTAAGCTCTTCTGAGAAAAAAAAATAACTGAAGAGGCAAGAGGTAGAAAAATGAGCTTGTTAGCACATTAGAAGTGAAGTATCTTGGTGGGCCCTAGAAATTCCCAGTGGTGTGTTAACTTATCACTCTATGCATGCTGGCACTGATAGTCTCCCAATTGATCACTCTCTTTTCGCACCAAAGGTGCTGCCAGGAAGCAAAGGCTGAAGGCCCACAGGAGAACAGGCTGCTATCAAAACAAGCTGTTTTTAAAAGTCTGCTTGAATGGGTAAAATGTTTCATGAAAAAAGTAGGGTGGAGCCACCTACCTGCTTTTAAAATGCTCTACTTTCAGAGGTCTCTAAAGGAAACCTTTTAGTTTATCCTATTACATCCAAAGCTTATACACAAATAAGGCAAAAATGAAGGAAAGTTACTGCTTTGAACGTGACAAGGACATTCCCATTCTCCAGTCTAGGCATCTATCTCCTAACCAAATAAAGAAGTCTTGACACAGATGCTGACTGAAGAGGATAATGATGTTTTCATTACACAGTGGAGATGACACGCTTGTATCAGTTCTAGAAGTCTAATTCAAATGCCCGCTTAGTACACCCAGAGAAAAGTAATTCAGCTAGCCAGGTTGCCGCTTGTCCTAACAATCCACAAAGCCATCTGCAGCTTGTTAACAACAGAACCCTGCTTAAAAACAGAACAAAAATCTGATGCGAACGCCAAGTCCAAAGCTTGCAATATTCTGCACTAACAAATGACACCCTCTCCTTAAAAGAACTCATTTTCTGTACTAGAAACTGAGTAGCTGAGATTGGGATACTTTTATCTTCTATTCATTTATACTTTGAGAACAATCTATATTTTAAAACTCAAATCTCAGCTGTTGTGGCTGAGATAATCTACTTCTACGCTGTATTCGAATGCAGCTATCTGCAAGAGTGACCATAAACTCATGGTAGTTAATTTCTACATTACTTCTAATAGGCTAGACATTTATTTCTTTACAATGCTGCTCTCTAGGGAAGAGTTATTAGCACCTACAAACCGAGTGGCACATACAAACTCAATGGCTAGTAATAATAGGGCAATGTAAGCTGTATTCTTACTGCGTGGATGTTGCCACTGGCATCAGCAATTAAGATGGAATGGGAAGGATGCAGGGACAAACCAATGGAGAAAGACTCTGGCACAGAGAGTGACTAAACACTTAAACAGCAGTGTTGTCTGCTTCTGAAGAAGGTGCTAACTGGAACAAAAGAGAACGCATAAAAAGGTAAGATATACATTAATTATACAGGCACTCACCCAAATCCATCAGCTAAGAACTTGCAGAGACATAATCTGCAAAAAGAGTAACAAAAAAAAAAATCTAATGACTTCATTATACTTTTTCAGAAGATACCGTTCTGAAAAATACAATCAATACAAGAAAAAATCAGAAATCATACCTTTACAGGTCACTCAGGTTGTAGTCACTCCAGCTAAAGTTTTATTTGCATTACAATCCATTTTACTTATTCTCGATATCTGAAATGATTTCTATTATAATGGGAAATACTGTACTTTCTATTATTACTGTAAATGTGCAATTTTTTTAGACCTGTTGATTTGCACTTGGGAACAAGCACTGAAATCCTGGGTGTCAGATCACCTACTTATGCTTAGTCTGTCTAAAAAAAAAATAATCCTCATATCTTCATCTAATTACTCTCCATCACTGTTGATCGTATTATTTTCCTTTTTAACTCAAGCTCTGTTCAGATTTCTATGGCAGAATACATCTGCATCTTGCACGTTCTTTTTGCATAATCTAAGCTAAAACTTTTTCTAGCCATCTACATGAACAAATTGCCTAGGCTCTTCCTTTACTTCTCAGTTACTGCCATATCCTTTTCTCTAGCCTCAGCAAATGAATTTCTTTCCTTATATCTACTTGAAGCATTGCAGAACCCACTTTCTGAACATACTGCTTAGATGGGACATTCTCTTCAGATATCACCATCGGTCTGTCACTCCCTAGCACACATGCAGGCAGGCTGCTTATTTTAACTTTAGAATCCATACCTATTTGATCAATTTTATCAAAACTACTCTTGTCTCCAGTCAGTTAACAGAGTCAGTCTCAATTACCTGGACATTTTTGGACAGGCACTTTTGTATCTTTTTCCATGTGGCTTCTTATGCCTTGTACCAGGTGTAAGTGTCCACAAAGCAATCCCCCTCAAGCTCTTCCCTTTGCTGATGTTTATAGAAAAATAAAAAAGGAAAAGACCTAGGAAGACTTAAAAGTCCATTGCTATGTAGGTCACACAACCATTCATGCTGTCTGCTATGGTTTCACATTTCTCTGAAATTTATATCTGCCTTCACATGCTGTCTTCAGTTTTATACCTGGACTTTTTTTATTTCTGGGCGACAAACAACATCTGTCTTGTGCTGTACAGCACCTCAGTATAATGTGACTGTGATCTACATTAAGGATATGTATGTGGCACAATAATGCAAGCAAAACAGCTCTCCTCCTTGCATCTTCATTCACTGTCTTAATGTTTTTCTTTCACACTGCCCATTTTTTTTCCCCATGGCTTTGTCATCCTGTAATTTGGTGAGGAAATCTGTTTGCTACCTTTTCCCACATCTCTAAATGTTTAGTCTTTATTCTTCCTTTTCTGTAATTTTAACCATGCAATCTCCACAAAATCCCATACTTCCCATTGTTCAGCCTCTTCTACTGTCTCCACCTTTCAAGTTGCTCTGTTGAATTCACCTCCTCATAGTCATTTCCATAGATTCATTGTGTCATTCTGACTGCATGTTTTATTTCCATTCTTCCTATTCATACAAAGTCTGCCTGTAAGTTTTAGAATGGCATAAAATGCATT